CAAAATCAAAATACATGGTTAGATTCAGCATATCAAAGAACCACATATATTCAATTTTTGTTGAAATCAAACAAAGTTTAATTTTGGACCCCAACTTGGACAAACTTGAAAACTGGGCCCATAATCAAAAATCTAAACACATGTTTAGATTCAGCATATCAAAGAACCCCAAGAATTCAATTTTTGTTAAAATCAAACTAAGTTTAATTTTGGACCCTTTGGACCTTAATGTAGACCAATTTAAAAAACGGGACCCAAAATTAAAAATCTAAATACATTGTTAGATTTGGAATATCAAAGAACCCTAATAATTCATTTTTTTATGAAATCAAACAAAGTTTAATTTTGGACCCTTTTGACCTTAATATGAACCAATTTGATAGCGGGGCCCACAAATAAAAAATCTAAATACATGCTTAGATTAGCATATAAAAAAAACCCATATAATTTTTGTTGAAATCAAAAAAAGTTTAATTTTGGACCCCAACTTGGACCAACTTGAAAACTGGGCCCATAATCAAAAATCTAAACACATGTTTAGATTCAGCATATCAAAGAACCTCAAGAATTCAATTTTTGGTAAAATCAAACTAAGTTTAATTTTGGACCCTTTGGACCTTAATGTAGACCAATTTAAAAAACGGGACCCAAAATTAAAAATCTAAAAACACGGTTAGATTTGGCATATCAAAGAACCCCAATAATTCAATTTTTGATGAAATCAAACAAAGTTTAATTTTGGACCCTTTTGACCTCAATATGAACCAATTTGATAGCGGGCCCACAAATAAAAAATCTAAATACATGGTTAGATTCAGCATATCAAAGAACCCCATATATTCAATTTTTGTTGAAATCAAACAAAGTTTAATTTTGGACCCCAATTTGGACCAACTTGAAAACTGGGCCAAAAATCTAAAATCTAAATACATGTTTAGATTCAGCATATCAAAGAACCCCATATATTCAATTTTTGTTGAAATCAAACAAAGTTTAATTTTGGACCCCAGATTGGACCAACTTGAAAACTGGGCCCATAATCAAAAATCTAAACACATGTTTAGATTCAGCATATCAACATGATCAAAGAACCCCAAAAATTCAATTTTTGTTAAAATCAAACTAAGTTTAATTTTGGACCCTTTGGACCTTAATGTAGACCAATTTAAAAAACAGGACCCAAAATTAAAAATCTAAATACACGGTTAGATTTTGCATATCAAAGAACCCCAATAATTTAATTTTTGATGAAATCAAACGAAGTTTAATTTTGGACCCTTTTGACCTCAATATGAACCAATTTGATAGCGGGGTCCACAAATAAAAAATCTAAATACATGGTTAGATTCAGCATATCAAAGAACCCCATATATTCAATTTTTGTTGAAATCAAACACAGTTTAATTTTGGACCCCAATTTGGACCGACTTGAAAACTGGGCCAAAAATCAAAAATCTAAATACATGTTTAGATTCAGCATATCAAAGAACCCCATATATTCAATTTTTGTTAAAATCAAACAAAGTTTAATTTTGGACCCTAATGTAGACCAATTTGAAAACTGGACCCAAAATTAAAAATCTAAATACACGGTTAGATTCGGCATAACAAATAAATAAATGTGGTCAAAGATTTTACAAATCTAATGCGCCATACTGTGCAATTAAAGATTACTTCTTGAAATTTTTCAATGGAGTTTGCAACCATAATTACCCATTTAAATTTACTATAGTGCTAACTTAATCTATTTTATAATAGAATTTAAAATATAGTGTCAAATCTTTCATATGGATTTTTTTGTAAAAAAAAAAGATGCAACATTTGCAGATATTTTTACTGGTCTTCCTTTATAAATATGCATTTCTTTAAACATAATTTAAAAGCAGAGTAAGGGAAGTAACCAAAACGTTGTATTTGGATTACCTCCCTTACACTATTTTAAATTATCTTAATTGTTCATTAACCATTACTTTATACATAATTTAAAGGCAGTGTAAGGGAGATAATTTCAATGATGTATTTGATTTATCTCCCTTACACTGCTTTAAATTATGTTTTGTACTAAAGTATTTGTTCATTAACCAGGACAACCTTGTTTTTCCCCCTTTTTTGCCCCTAATTCCTAAACTGTTTGAGCCATAACTCCCCAAAGCAAATCCTAACCATCCCTTTGTGGTATTGAAACTTGTAGTATAATTTCAGAGAGATCCATACACCATTCCGCAGTTATTGTCTGAAAACTAGAAAATGCTTATTTTTGGCCCCTTTTTGGCCCCTAATTCCTTAACTGTTGGTACCATAACCTGATAACCCCCAAAATCAATCCCCACCTTCCTTTTGTGGTATTGAACCTTATGGTAAAATGTCAAAGAGATCCATTCACTTAAACTAAAGTTAGAGTGCGAAAACCAATGTGTCTTCGGACGACGACGCCGGACGACGAGGCCAACTTCATACCAATATACGACCGTAAAAATTTTTTGCGGTCATATAAAAACTGATTATTTGAGTAGATTTTCTTAGTCCAAGGACCATAACTCTGCACAAAATCATTAGACCCGACCAAAATCCGAACTTGATCTGGAAATTGTCATGATAAAACTATATACCAATCATCAAATCAATTTCTTCAAGCATGACGAAAAAAAGTGCGGTAAACTGATTATTTTAGTGAATTTTTTTAAGTCCAAGGACCATAACTCTGCACAAAATCATTAGACCAGACCAAAATTCGAGCTTGATCTGTAACTTGTCATGATAAAACTATATACCAATCATCAAATCAATATCTTCAAGCATGACAAAAAAAAGAGTAGAAAACTGATTATTTGAGTGAATTTTCTAAATTCAAGGACCATAACTCTGCACAAAATCGTCAGACTGGAACAAAATTCGAAATTTGATGTGTAATTTCTCATGATAAAACAATACACCAACTATCTAATCAATATCTTCAAGCACCAAGAAAAAAAGTGTGGAAAACTGATTTGCCAGACTGACGGATGGACAGACAGACAGACCGACAGACAGACGGACGGAGTGCAAACCTAAAGTCCCCTTCGACTTCATGGGTAGGGGACTAAAAAGAGAATGGAAACGGTTGGATGGAAAGTTGTCTCATTGGCACTCATACCACATCTTCTTATTTATAATAATGTTTCAGAGACAACATGACCAAAAGGCAGAAAACAGCACATAGGCCACCAATGGGTCTTCAACACAGCAAGAATATCCCGCACCCAGAAGAAGGTTGAATAAAATGTGTATATCATTGAAATTAAAATATTTGGGTTAAAGTTACTGCTGTCATGGCTGTTACAATACATAGTTGAAAAATGGCAATTGTAAAATTAGTCAATGAAAATGTAATCTTACAAAACTGTAAAGTCTTTTAAAGGAATATTCAATTTGAACTTAAGCTGTGCACATGGAATTCAAATAAATATATAATCAAACAAAAGTACAACTGTAAGCTGTGGCATCACAGGTTTTCCTATAAACTTTTCCATGAAATGGCCATGGGCTGATAGATCACCTGAGTATCAACATGTAACCGATACAAACAAATAATTTGGCGGTTCAACATCAAAAGGACCATCGGACAGACAATGTTTGCCACAGGCTGGTCTCACAGTTCCATGTGTGTACTTTAGGTTCTAACAATATACATGGCTAATTAGATAGATAATTAATAAATGCTGAAAGATAGTCCAAAACTTCAATTTTGATAGGTTTTGGCAAAGTATGAATATTTATCTTAAAAATGTATAAGAAACACACTTTTAACCAAATCTAACATTCTGATGGAAGAAAAGCTGTATACCCTCTTCTGGATACAAATAATTTCATTCTGGTCAGCAACATACTTTGTAAACAAACATGTAAAATTTGCAATTTTTATCAAAATCACTTCAACAGCAACACATAAAACTAGTCAACATGGTCAAACCATACCATTTTGTACAAACACCAAAATCAGACTATCTTGATCACAGACCATGTATAGTTTGTTATTGTTGATAAGTCTATATATTTGAATTTAGAAATATGTACAATTGTTTAAAAATATTTGAAAGTACAATGACAATGTTTATCATACTCTTTAATTTAATTTCCAGAAGAATTTGAAAACCTTTAGATTTTGACCATTGTGAGTGAAACAAATATATACCTATTGGATGAATTTTCATTGTAATACTGTAAAAGCAGAAATTTTCGTGGAAGATTTAATTTCGTTTATTTCGTGGAAAGAATATACATGATATATCCACGAAATTAAATCCCCCACGAAAATATCACCTACATATAATATCACTTCCATTTACTGGAAACCACAAAATTAAATCCCTATGAAATCTTATATAGACACAAAACCACGAAATTTTAACCCCACGAAAATAAATGTTTCTACAGTACATGCATCAACTTGATCAATGTTCAGTTGGTTTACAAACTGGTACGTACATGTACATATACATGTAAATAACACGTTAGAGGAACCAACTACATGTAAATACATTGCAATTTCTCACCATGTTAAAACTACATTTGTACATGCATGCATTTTTTGTCATTCATTTGTCAATGTTTGTCATTTGAAAAAAATAAATAATTAAAAGTTACTTTTAACATTAAAATCTGGCAAAATATTCGTCATGTTCATTATATTTGAAAGAGCTTACATTTTAAACTTTACAAATATACAGCACATGACTGATTAACGATTGGATACAATTTGTAAGTATACAGATAAATATTTCAGGATTATTCAGCAACAATCACCAGCATTCATTATGAAAGTTTCAGCACTGAAAGAGATTTTCATTGCAACCCTTTGGTAGTGTTGAGTCAGAATGAATCAGTGTGCAACTAGATGAGTGTTCAATAGTAATTTTGGGATACTGAATTCCGTATAAAGCCCCTTTGTCAATATAGGTCAGATTTCAAAATGAGTCATACAAAATCAGTTGCATTCAAAGTAAAAATAAAACCATATTTACCTTATTTCTTTCAACTTTTGCTCTATTTACTAGATCCAACATTGTATACTGAGACTTAAAGTCAGATGAGTCCTCAATGTCAGGATTCTCTGGCACAGATATCTGCTCTGTGGAACCATTCAAATTACTAAATTGTTTTAGTTGATCTTTCTTTTGTTGTAATATCTGTGCTGCTTTTAAAAGTGTTTCGATCTGGTTTGTGACCTTGTCCTCATTTTGTGACACACTATCATCAGAATCTTCCTCATTGGCTGAAATCAATGAATCAAACGTATCCTTCAACTCATTTTTCATTTCTGGTTTGTTACACGGCCGTTTGACGTGATCTCTCATTTCGTTGATTGTCACAAATTCTTTCTTACAGATGTAACATTTTAAGTCCATCCTTTTCTTTTTATTTGGAGTTGTAGTCTCGCTCTGAGGGGAAGGCGTAGGGGATTCATACTTTGATAAAAATGGATGAATTTGTTGGTTCGAATGATTGTAGCTGCCATACTTCTTCTGAGTAGATATTGCTTTACATTCTTTGCTATGTCGCCATCTCTGCATTGGATCAGGGAAACCAGTCATACAGTGACGGCACCAGAACAATTGTGCCGATGGATTGCTGAGCTGATGACATGGGTGCCCAACAGGTGGTTCCCCTGCCATATTAGATGGGTTTCCTAAAATATGTACAAATATATTTCACTTAATGCATGTATCTTATTGTGTATTGTATGAAAGAACATAAAACTGTAATGTAGATAAGTGAATGAAAAGGAGCAATATGTCTGAATATTGAGGTTTTGTATGTAACTTAAAAAAAAACTTTTCATGATGAACTTCAAATTTTTTTTTATGTTGAAATAATCATTTTTAAATATCAATCACAGATGAGGCAGATAAACAGCAATTCAGCACAAAACACATGAAATAAACAGCAATTCAGCACAAAACACATGAAATAAACAATTCAGCACAAAACACATGAAATAAACAATTCAGCACAAAACACATGAAATAAAAATTCTTGAGCTGCAATATTTAATCATTGAGTTCTACATGTTCTAGTATATGTATGGTACATGTATGTATAATTCAACTAACAGAGCTATGATGCCCCTGCTTGCATATAATGTTATAAAGGGCACAACTCTAGGGGTAAAAGTGATGCCACCCAAATTCAAACTTGATCTGAATTTTGTGGTAATAAGCATTGTGTATAATTTTCATAACATTTGGTTGAGGCAATTCAAACTAAAGGTAGAGAAAGGAAACCAATTCTTAGGATGCACGTACAGACAGACAAGGTAACACTTAATGCCACAGCAGTGGCTACCTTAGATTGCTTCCTGTAGTAATGAGCTTTTTTTTTTACCCTGATCTCCGAATTATGTGCTGTCATTTATTATCCTGTTCAAGCAAAAAGGTCATCCTCTTCAATATTGGTAGCTGGTCTGCATATATTTATGTGTGAATTACTTTAACAACAAATGGGAAGGTTTGCATGGTTTGTGTGCATTAACCTGGTCTTGTATACATGTATATGAACCCCACCACATTGTGTGTGCCTGTACCAAATCAAGCTTTTATGACCATGTGTTGATCTTTTTTTTTTTTCTTTGTTGGTAATTTGTTAGTCTGTTTTTTAAGTTTTGGTGTTTGGTTTGGTCTATTGAACTGTTTAATATTTTTGGTAATTACTGTTATCTTTTTATGTATTATTGCAAGTAATTTGCATAGAAAAAAAATGGCCACCCTCGTACATTAAAGACTAGATAACTGATTATTTCTATGCTATGCAATCTAATTTACTGCAAGATGTCATTAAACGTAGCATCTTATCATGCTTTTCTCTAATATAAGGTGACTGGTCAAATGTCAAAACTCCCAAAACCATAATATCTCAGTGTACATTAGATACATCCAATTGGGATAACGTCTTCATGGGTGTATTGAACCAATGTGTAATGTGTTAAAAAGTTTCATAAACACTAAATCTATTATGCATGAAGGTATGCTATTAACACTAGAAACCCCTCAGAAATGTTTCAAACCCTATATTTGTTCTTAGAAATTTATATTTATATTTTTTCAATTTAAGCAAGATGTTTTATTGGTATTTTTTTTGTTTGCTTCCATTACATGAAGATTTTAAGTTTAACATGTTTAAAGGGAATCAATTGGACAAAGTATCATGAATTGATGATGAATTTCAGATACATATACAAATGGATATATTTAATGTCTAACATGCTGAGAAAAGATCACCTGTCAAGCTTTTATCATTTAATAATCAGATAATCAATAATAATTATAACTTTCACAAGAAAAACCATGATTCTGTCTCCTTCCCCTAATATAAGACATGTACTTTTCAAATAATTAAAAAATCAATGATCTTTTATTTCTACTCTACATGACCTTCAATTTGTTTAAAATATTCATAAATATTTCTCTGATAATAATTGGTTTTATCATTTCCCCCAAAAAAAATGTATTCAGCCAAATTTGTGGATAAAAGCATTTATTATACATGTAGTTATACAACGAAAAATTTAATTCAATTGTATTTTGAAATACATTGGTGTAAATTGTATTGTACAAAAATTTCAAAAACACAAGTCTAGTCATGAGTAATTATTGGCTTAAAACTACTTAAATCCAGTATTTTTCAGAAATTAACATATGTAGAATCAAATCAATAGAGTCAATATCAATATTTTACTATAGGCATATCAACATGATCAAATGAAAATGTATTTTAACTATATTTTAAATAATTTAGTTTTTTTAGTAGATATTAATTTGCTGTTTAAAGAAAAATGCAAATGAAAGAAAATAAAATTCTAGATGTCTGCAGATTTTTTTCAAAAAGCACTCATTTTGGTTTTGGCTAAGAGATCATGCTAGCATATTTCATTATCTTAACAAGATAAATGTTTTAAAGCACTTTCAATGTAACATTATGAAAGATCCATGAATATGATTTAATCATACTGAATTCTAATCTCCAAAAATATCAAAATGCATTTGGTATTCTAATTAAAAAATGCTTGAATCTCTATGATAAACGTGTTGTTTTTCAACAGTTTTGAAATTCACAGTGACCATCTTAAGAGTAGTATAGAATATCAACTAGCAATCTGATTGAAATATAGCTTATTCTGTGTCCAGGCTTTGTTAAAAAAGTTCTGACAAAGTTCCGTTCTAATTTGTGTTTTGATCATTATAATATAATTATAATTACAAAGGTCTAAACAACAGAGGGAGTAATTCGGATCCTCATGTTTTTAAGCGTGGTCACATGATCTGTATTTGAATTGATTGCTTAACTAGAGGCCAACATGGGACTGGATCACATATTTCCTCTTTAGAAAAAAAACTGTTCAATTCATTAGATTTGGGTCCCCCAAGACTTTCATCAGGGAATACAGCTAAAAGATTTGTATATAATTATACAAACTACACCTATTTCTATATATTGGTTATTCTCATGTCCATAGCCAGGATGCTTCTGAGGGGGCTATTTGGGGTCAAGATGCTCTGATTTTAACAGACAATTTCGACTTAAACAGCATTACTTGTTTTTCGGGGGGCTTCCAACCTCTGAACCTCTTCCCAGCTACTATATAAAAAACTTCAAAGCCTAGTGGATAAAATAAAATTCAAAGTAAAAGAAAACATTACAAGAAGTGATTGCCCATGTACATGTAGGTCCAGTGTCTGGACCAGCGATACTGCATACAATCGATTGAGGTAACATGTATACTGGAGCATAACTGATCATTCCCCTTCACTGATGCCAAGAAAACTTTGACAAAATTCTCCTTGTACAATTACCAATAAACTGCTTTGCTGAGCGCAGCTGGATACTCCCTCAGAGGTCCAACCCTGAACAGTTGGGGCAAAAATGGACACAATATTCAAGCTTGATACAGGTCTGAATTTGGATTGTAATTAAATATTTGACATATTATAGGTTTCTGAATAAATGTAGTCAAAGAACTTGAAATTGGTTATATGAATTGAATTTATATTCAATTAACGATTTCTTGCTGTTGTGCAATACACTGTGCTGTTGCGCAATACTTAGTAAATCTGTTGTCAGACTATAAACAAATAAAGTTCAATTTCTTCTCAATGTCATATTTGAAATTTATGAAAATCGATAGGGAGATTACATCAATAGCTATAAATAATTCACCAAAGTTTCATGAGAACTGCTGAAAGCAGTTGTGAGTTATTGTCCAAAAACTGGAAAATCCCCCTTTTTTTAATGAATAAAATCCCATAACTCAGAAATGTAAAATCGAAAATTTATAAAATTCTAAAGGGAGCTTTCATCAACAGATATAAACAATTCACCAAAGTTCCATGAGAACTGCTGAAAGCAATTTTTAGTTATTGTCAGAAAACTGGAAAATCCCCCTTTTTTTATGAATAAAACCTTTAACTCGGAAACGTTAAATCTAAAATTTATAAAAATCCAAAAGGGAGCTCATGTCAATAGATATAAACAATTCACCAAAATTTCTTGCAAGTTGGTGAAAGCATTCTTGAGTTATTGACGGAAAACTGGAAAATCCCCCCTTTTTTAATGAATAAAACCCCAAAACTCGGAAACGGTAAATCTGAAATTTATAAAAAACGAAAGGGAGCTCACAGCAATAGATATTAACAATTCACCAAAGTTTCATGCATATTGATTAAAGCTTTTTTGAGTTAATGTCCGACATGTTGAAGACGGACGGACGGACAGACAGTCAACAGTATACCATAATACGTCCCGTAAACGGGCATATGAAAAATGTAGTGTTGTAAAATTTCAAACTATTGGCAAACAGGGAATGGATATATAGTAGATGTAAAAATTGCTTACTCAATATAACTCAACAATATAAAGCTGAAGGCCAAATATTAAATCATTCCCTCTCATCATGATTGAAGCCAAGAAACTTTGAAGAAACCTTTTCCTTGTACAATTAGTGTTGTAAAATTTCAAACTATCAGCAAACATGAAGTGGATACATGGCAGATGTAAAAATTGCTTACTCCCTACAACTCAACATTATCAAGCTGCAGGCCAAATATTAAATCATTCCTTTCAATAGCAGAGAAAACTTTGATGAACATTTTCCTTGTACTACATGTACTATAAGTGTTGTAAAATTTCAAACTGTCGACAAACAGGAAGTGGCTACATGGCAGATGTAAAATTGCTAACTTACTACAACTCATCATTATAAAGCTGCAGACCAAATGTTAAATTGTTCCCTTTCAGAGAAGCCAAGAAAACTTTGACAAAAGTTTTCTTTCAGACAGACAAACGGACAGGTGGGCAGACAGTCTAATCATTGTATTAGCTCTGATTTATTGTGATATCAATCAATAAATCCTTATTTGAAATTGTAGCTAGAAATAGAGGATATCTTTTGGCCTTATTTGTTATTGTTATTGAAACTACTCCTTTTTGACGGTGTGTTCCATTTCTTCAAAACCAGAGGATCCCAAATGGTCTTAAAAACAAAAAGTAGAACAGAGTGTTGTCAGATCTTTGTAAGCAAAGCAAGGGCAGAGGATCTGTGTTATAATCAGCCTGAATCATTTCTTAACCATGTTAACACAGAAAATGTGTATTGTTAAATGTATTGAAAAATACGGATGAATGGACAGAGATACAAGGTGATTACAATATACCATCCACACTTTGAGTGCAGGTATACAAAAATTTGTCTAAGGTTCCACATACATTTGTAACCCTGCGTCTTGCCGGAGTATGTAATTCAAAATTAAATAATGAAAGGCTCAGATAACATATAGATATAAGAAGATGTGGTATGAGTATTAACAGAATGTTTGACACTAAAGCTGTCAAGTGAAGCCATCCGACTGTTTATATATTTATATTAAATATTTATTTTAGCTGAATTGGCTAATGGTGCATTTGTGAGGAGTTGAAGGACCTTTTTCTGGACGTCAGGATTGGGCCTTTATTATCGAGGGAATTTGGTATTTACACCTATTGAGAATCGGGAATTAATGATTAATTTCTCATGATCTGGGAATGAATACTATATTTTTGGGGGAATTCAGGATGATACTCCTCCTACCACCCCTCTTTGCAACTTTAACGAGGGTTAAACCTCAGGTAATTAGCAACCAATTAACAAATATAATAGAAGACACATCTATAAAAGAATTACAACAACCACCGACAACTAACCCCATATGACTTGGTCTAGATGACGAGAAAGTATGAAAGAGTTTTACAAATTCTGAATAGGGTCAAGCAGTCCAGAGGCAACAAACAGGAATATGTATTTCTTGGCCTGTGTATCAGTTTTAAAAGCTCTAACAACCTTGTTTGCAATGTTATATATATATAGATATAAGAAGATGTGGTATGAGTGCCAATGAGACAACTCTCCATCCAAGTCAAAATTTATAAAAGTAAACCAATATAGGTCAAAGTACAGTCTTCAACACAGAGCCTTGGCTCACACTGAACAGCAAGCTATAAAGGGCCCCAAAAATTACTAGTGTAAAACCATTTAAACGTGAAAACCAACAGTCTAATATATATAAAAAACGAGAAACACTTATGAACCACATCAACAAACGACGAACTACTGAACATCATATATATATATGTATATATATATGTACCTACTCTAAATAAAGCTTTGAATTAAATCAGGTGTTTTAACTACCTGACCGATATACATCCTAAGATCTATCAGAAGAGGCTGAACAATCCTATAGCAGTTCTAAAAATGGTCACTTTCATTTCAATGAACACTCCCAGTCCCACAATTATACTGTTATTAACTCTGAATGGCAAAGCATTTGATGAGGTTTCATTATTTTGGTAAAAAATTGATAGGCACAAATTGTCTAGATTATTACCTTTTTACTTTAGCTGAGAACAGAATCAATATACAGCTCAAGTTGGCAGCCATCACAACTTTCTTGGTGCACGTTGGTGGCCCGTCTACCTGTGTAGGTTGTCATGAAATGTCTGAAACGTAAGCAAATGACAACCTGGACTTAAAACAGTACTTCAGTATAGTGAAATGTGGTATAAGTATGATAAAGGATTACTTGAATGGTCAACTAATTGACGAATACATTGAGGAAATGAAGTTAAAAAAATTGTCACAAAAGTAAATTAGAGTGACCTCCCCTGACAAAATTTCCATAAATGCAGAAAATCTCGTTTACAAGCCACTGCGTTAAATAAAAACAATTAAAAGTACATACTATGTTAATATATGATCGTCATATATTACAACCCAGGTATATAAAACCATTATCGCAGAAAATATATTCTTCTTTCATTGTCGGCAGCTGTGTTTTTCAACAATACACTTCATATAGACACCAGGTGGCGGGACTGTCTCATTAATATTCATCATCTGTCTTCCCGAAAGTAGGCTTCACATTGTTCGGAATATAATAAACGATTGCTTGTGTTTTATTGTACGATGAAAAATGCATAAAATTATCGTTTATATAACCAGATGCAAGGCTACCCCGTAATGCAAGGTATATATTGTGGATGCACTAAGGGACTGAACTGCACGTGTTTTTTTTTTACTTTTCCAGTTGAGAGTTATCTTCCTTTGAATACTATACTAGTTTGCGGGGGAAATTACTTAATCAGAATATAGCAAACTAATGATTTTTGTTATTATAAAGTAATTTTGGTTAAATTTGTTTCCCCTGACTAACTATTAGCCATGCCCGTAAACTACATAGAGGGAGAGGAGGATGTTGCCTGAGCCTCCAAATTTTTGATAACATTATTAATTATATTAATCAAGGAGTTTGTATATCACTATATATCACTATACAAATCCTTGTATTAATTAAAACAAATTTAAAGACGGAAATATGAATTTTTCTTTTCGCAACAACATCAAAAGACACCGTCAGAAAGTAGTTTCATACGATTAGACAGTTAGTATCTGTTTGCACTTTATATTTCATCACAGTGCTGTCACATGAAAGAAACGAAAACTTATTGTTCAATTAGCCGATATTTGCTCTTAGCTTTGAACAATAAAATTTACGCGTGTACTTGTTTTTGTGTGCATATGATCTGAGACTACCATATATGATGCCATAATAATTGGTCATTTTAAAAAAAAGCAGCAGAGCTGATGCGATGGATTTTGAATGATTAAATCTAGAAGTAATGCAGGTTGTCAACTCAATTTGTAAATCATTGTAAAACGGCTCTCAAATTTGTCGATGCTGTTGTTCTTTAACAGCCAGATTTAATGCAATTTTCACATATCGCACACTTACTTATTGTTAAAAGGAACATCCTTTTCGATTTCGAAAATGTTCTCACGGGTTTGTCGTTCTCGAGTAACACTGTCAACGTATATTTGTTCCGCCTAACAGAAGTTCCACTGGAAACTTTGTTATAAACAATGTCATAATATCTGTTCCTGTTGGAACAAATCTTCTATGCCATTTATTCCGTTAGGAACATTTACTGTAATAGTTATTCCAGTGGAAATAATATTCCAGAATATTGTTTCTATTTGGAACTTTATATTATGAAGGAACTTCTATTCCGTGACAACACTGAGGGGCCTTATGGGTTATTTTCGTTCTTCGTGATCGGCGCATTTTCTCTATCGTGATCCGTTTTTCTACAGATTTTTTTTTTTATATTTTCGTGATCCGTGATCATGGAAATTTATTTTCTGTGAATCGTGATTGACAAAAAACTTCAACTCGTGAATCGTGATGAGACTCCCCCCCCCCCCATCAGGCCCCTCAACACTCACTGTCCATTTCACATGTTGTACCATAACTTGAGTATGCTTGGAACGATGTACCGGAAACTTTACATGGCTGTTAGAACTGATAAAAGTAAGATAACACTCGATTTTGAAAATTTTCCGAAAGTTAAGGTACTTTGATCATCAGATAAATAAAATGCAATTTTTACATGTCACGCATTAGCTCTAGTATACTTTACACTGTTGTTGGAATTAATGAATTTAGACTCGCTTTTGATTTTGAAAATTTTCTGGTTTGCCGTTCCCGAATTATAGGACTTTTAACAGTCATGTTTATACGCCTATAACGATATCCCCATGCAATTTTTCTCAGTGACATAGCCATTTTACTAACTTCTGAATAGATCCTTTTAAATATACCAGCAGTTCTTTATTCGACAAGTTGGTTTATTGGCCTAGCTTTTTGTTAACTTATAACAAACAAATAATTAAACAGGTACAATCAAAATGTATGTAAAATCAGTACACCAATTTGAACATTTTTTTTTCAAAACACAAATCATATTATATCTGAAACGAAGGGGAAACATAAGCAAAGCAAAATACAAAATGAGTTATATTTAATGTGATTTTAGATAAGAGTTTAAGTAAATTGTATCTGAAACTGTCACCAACTATCTTTGTCATGATGTGCTGATTACTGCTTTTGAATTGTCAGGCAGACTTCTGAAGCAGTAAGCCTCGGGACTGGAAGTCTCAGAATATCAGAGATGTCTTGAAAATATTTTTTTATTTGCTACTTGTTCTTTTCAGAATTATTACAAATGTTTGAACGTCTTCGTTCCAGTGAATACTGATTTCATCTTTAGGTTCCATAATTACCAGTGATTTCAAGTTCGGTTCTATGTTTGAACGAATTTTCGGTGATGAAGATATACTGTTTACAGCAGAATGCATCGAGTGTGTAGGTAAAGCGGCGGCAATGTCTTTGGTTAGCTTGCTTGCTAGCTGAGCCGTGAAGTCATTATTATGTTAGGTAAACTACCCTCCTTTAAGAGTAGACTAGTCCGACAGATAACCAATCTATCTGTCTGTCGGACTAGACTATTCCGAAAGAAGGGTAGTATACCTAACATAATAATGACTTCACGGTTCAGCTAACAAGCAAGCTAACCAAAGATTATACCTTTACCTACACACTCAATGCATTCTGCTGTAATGTGTTCTCTTTAAATGCCCTTTTATTTCTGTATCATGTTTTATTCTCATATAAACCCAACTATCACTTAGGACTTTCCATGCTTGGATTTACCAATAACATGTGACCTTCCAATGACAATAATGTCAATATCTAGTTCAGCTTATACCTGATAATATCGAGGTAAGTCTCATCAGCGTTCACTGGGTGTAAAATGTTTCCACGGTTGTCAACAAGAACTAGAACATAATGAAAAGTAAAAGAAGGCAAGCTATGTAAAAATAAGGAGATGTGGTATGATTGCCAAACTGTTTTTGTTCTAAAAAAAATGTATTGGATTATTCCAAAATATATGTTACAAGAGTTCAATTCCCAGTTGGTAACAGTTAGTCGTCCTCTCCAAATCAAATAACCGTATTAGTCCGAGGGCTAGGTAGGCTTCACGTGACGTTGCACCCGTCCCTCCCCCAGCATCCATGTTAACTAAGTTTTTATTTAGGTCGTATATATATATATTGACATTTAATATAAAGATTTTTACTTTTGCCAGATGTGGAATATTTTATGCCGTTATTAAATAAGTGCTTGTAAATAATTTATAAATCATATATATTTTTAATGTATTTTATTGTAAATTAAGTGTCTCGCAAGTCTATTAGATAGGACGGGTATTGATCTTTGTTTTGTCTGTTTTGTGTTTTGAACATGTATATTTACTTGTAAGATCAATATGTGACATTTTAATAAAATGATCATTATCTATATATATATTTGTCATTATTACGCATTAACAAGCGAAATATTGGGATCAACTGGAGATATAGGGGTATTTCAAGAACCATTTAGGATTTTAGATGCTTTTTCGTTCAACGTAACTCCTATCTTTTTAAAGCTTTTAACTCCAACAGAAAGGAGTCATGAATCATCTCATGACATATATAAATAGCCGAAGGTCTAAGCTATCAAATGAATACCGTTTATACCACAGACAGTCAGTAGTTAAGTGTTAGTGTTGAAAATTGTAGCCCTACCCTTTAAAAATTTGAAATTTATAAATTAAAAAAAATGTAAAATATTGTTTGTGGGTTTCATTTAAATGCTCTGTATGGCAATAGCAACTTTTCTTATTCGAAATTTTGGTGTAAACAATCAAAAAGAATACCTGTTTGAATAATTTTTGTAATCAAAATTTGTGAAAAATGGGAAATTTTAGGTTCTTAGATTTTTCCAGGTTCACTCTTCTTTACTTTCTATAATGAAAACGACTCTTTTTAAATGAAATCCGCTGGCGAGATCACCAGGACTAATGCATTAACTAACTTATAACTACGTGAGTTTTAATATTTGAAATTCACTGGACAAATCCGACAAAAATTGAAAATATCACCCCTACCCCCTCTCTAGATTTGAACATGACATTTGAGAAATTTACACTTTAAATCATTAAACTGACCATTACTTTAGTATAAATGAGATTGTAGATATATATAATGGGCATAGTTTACATCATCTAGCTGCTTTTTTTCTAATTTTCTAGTCAAAATCTCGTAAAAATGGACAATTTTGGATTTTCAGATTTTTCAGTTTTGCTTAGAATTCGTCTTAATGTTCGTTTCGGTTTTGATAGATGACTTTGTCGGTCACACGATATAATTTCGTCCTCAAATTGGCTGTATAAACTTTCAATAAAACACTCAATATTGATATTTTTCTATAGATTAGTCATCTTACGTTAAAAATACTATCCCAGACAAATATGGGCAAAAATCTATGATATTTTATTAATAAACATCACAAATTATAAACCTAAACCCTTTTGGTCTTATTATGCTGTTGTTATGTCCAATATACTTATTGGTACGCATTGTTGTTGTGTGAAATTTCGGATTTTCAGATTTTCCATCCTAAATGCTTAAAGTTCGTTAATATTTTCGTTTTGGTCTTTGATAAATTGTATTTACACCAAATATTTTGGTCTCATTAAATAGGTCAATGTATTAGCTTTTGACTGAATACCAATTATAGATATTTTTCTATAGACCAATCATCATATGTTTAAAAATACTCTCCCTGTCTTATACACAATTGGACAAAAATCTATTTGAGCAACTAACATCACAAATATTTAATTTGATGGTGATTCTGTGTAATTTTGCCGTAGATATATATATAATATACTATGCACCATCTCAATGATATGTTCCACTATCACTTGTATCAATTGCATAAAGAGACTACAAGATATCCTCATACTTATTGTCCTCGTTCTCATCCTCACTACCAGACTCTCCCTCTTTCAAGAACATCTGCAAGACGCTGTGGTTAAGATTCAATTTCGAACCGTTTTGGTTGGATAATACCATTAACAATTTGTCAATCATATATATATAATTGATATCACCAACAATATAAGTAAAACACATATACGAATA